GGACTGAAACAGATAGAGACAGACAGAGGGCTATGGGGAGTAGAGAGCGTGAGAGCCAACCAGACACAAAGAAGCCAACGAGCATAGGAGGGAGGACTGAAAAGACAGCAGGCAGCCAGACCCAGCAGCTCATGTGCTAGTCCAACCCTCATGGCAACCCCAGTGGAACCGTCCAGGCCAAAACTAGTGAGCCAAATCCTGAGCTCATTTTAATGGCTTCTGTCCCAAGCCTGAGTCACTGGGGATTCCATGGACTTCTGAGAGCGCCCTACATGCATTTCTGAAAACAAACCGCTCGATGCTGTCATGGAAAACCTGGATCTTTGCGTCCTGTGGTTTCCTTATGGATTACATCCAGGTCACAACCTAAGGAAGACAGCTGGGGGCGATGACCCTGCTGGCCGATTACCCAGCTTTTGTAATGAATCCCAGAGGGCTCCAGATGATGTGTTGTGTTTCTGGCTCCGCCAAGCACTGGACAAGTCCTCACCTTGGGAAGACCAACCAGCCTGTGATTTAGTCTGTGTCAGGAGTCTGAAAAGCCACCTGCAGTCAAGGCTCAACTGCGAGAAGCTGCCTCCAGCAAGGAGAGGAATTAGAGACTGTGTGTGTCAGGCGGAAGAGCAGTGAGAGGAAGAAGTTCTTGGTTTTCCTGTCAACTCAACTGCTATCTTCTGCTTTTTAAAAAAATGCCCCAAGGACACCCACAGTCACCCCAAAGCCACAGAAATGCTCTACACTCTTTAGCCCCAACACAGGCAGGCTATGAAGGGGCCAAGAATGGCCCAAACAACACAGTGATGTTTGATTTTCAATAGAACAAGGTCACCTCGAAAGACTAGAAGAGAAACCACTATTCCTTAAAATGCAGCAGTTCTAGGAAACATAAAAAAAAAAACAACTAAATCCTGCCAAGAAAGCAGAAAAACTTCACATAGCTACCACTTACTGTTTACTATGTGCCGAGTATTGTGCTTAAGCGTTTCCTCTCATATAGGATCTAATTTAACCCACAAACAACCCTGAGGTATGTATTATACCTCATTATACCCATTTTACAAGTGAGAAAGGAGGTTCAGAGAAGTGAAGTAAATTACTGGCCATTTCACAGCCACTGTAAGGTGAGGTCAGGACTGATCCAGAGGCAGGTGAGGCTTGACCTCTAATTGCTGCCAAGAGAGAAGTACTGAACTCCAAAGGCATCTGTGCTGAATACTTAGGAAACGTCAGATGGGTGCCCACCAGTAGGCTAGACCTTGAAGGCAAATCCTCTATCTGGGTTAACTTAATAGTCAATAGTTGCATCTTCTTCTTATTTTTTTTTTTTTTAAGATTTTATTTATTTATTTGAGACAGAGAGAATGAGAGACAGAGAGCATGAGAGGGAGGAGGGTCAGAGGGAGAAGCAGACTCCCTGCCGAGCAGGGAGCCCGATGCGGGACTCGATCCAGGGACTCCAGGATCATGACCTGAGCCGAAGGCAGTCGCTTAACCAACTGAGCCACTCAGGCGCCTCGCATCTTCTTATTATTTATAAGTAACGTAGATTCTGAGAGTTCCACTGAGGTAGCAAATTCTTTCACATCCACTTCTAAAATCAAAATACCCAGATTTTGATAATTTATGTTACACTTTCTATAGACAATGAGGCTACACAAACCTAAGGCCTATTTATTCTTTAAAATTAGTCATAGTAAGGAATATGCTTACAGTATCTTGTAATTTTTCTTCGTTACATTTAAAAAAATGTTATTTTTGCCAAAATGAAAGTTTTAAGAGCAAACACAGTCTGAGTGTATTTCCAGAGAATGCGCTGGCAACAGCTTCTTTCTCACCATCTGTTCCCATGTCACATAGATGCGGGGCTGAGAACCGTGGGGGTGTGTGGTGGGTTGGGGGCGGGGGGAGACTGACGCTCGCAGCTGCACCGAGTACTTGGCTGAGGCTGGGGCTGCCCAGATGCTATTACATATTGGCCAAGAGGAGAGAAAGCAAGTCAGCTGTTTCAGACACTGGTGGGGCAACTTTCTCAGCCAGAGATTCAAGGACTATGGCTGCCATTTTGTTGGCTTGAACTAGCCAGTATAGACCTCCATTAGGAGAGAAAGAGCCCACCAAGCATCCCTTACAGATGTGCCCCCTCCCCGCACCATGAGGGAGTCACCTGCCTAGTACGTAGTCCATCTCACCCATGTTTCTGCTCAACAGCTGCTAGGCTAGGTGGAGAGACTACTCCTTCTTGTACTTCAGTCCTTAGCCTTAGGTCAGTGGGCTCTAGAGACATGGTCTGGCTTATAGGAATCTCTGCCTCTTGCCAATTCAAAATTTTAAATAATTTCAGACTTTCTGAGATGCTGGGTGTATTCACAGGGAACCTAAGTGAGAGGGGTGGGGAGAAAGTTCTCTTAGAAAATCTAGACTTTTGGGACAGACAGGTGACTAGCACCTCAGGTATGCTACTATTTCCTTCTTTTCAACCCTTCTTCCCAGAGGCCTGATATAGAGAGAGAGAGGGACGGACGGAGAAGTCAGGAATAATTCACGGGAGTGTATGAATAATTCCTACGACATATACTGATCTTTGTGCCAAAATGAACACTCCTGTCATTTATGTGAAATAGCAAACAAGAGCACCAAAAGATTTCTTGGACTAATCCTCATTCTTAGAGACTGAGTTCACTGGACTAACACCTTATTAAAAACTGCATGGGGGTGCCTGGGTGGCTCAGTTGGTTAAGCATCTGACTCTTGATTTCAGCTCTGGTCATGAGCTCAGGGTCATGGGATCGAGCCCTACATCGGGCTACGTGCTGGGCATGGAGCCTGCTTGGGAGTCTCTCTCTCCCTCTCCCTTTGTACCCCCCCCCAAACCTGCATGTAAATAGTCTGTAAGACTGAAAGGGTAACCATAAGTTGCTTGTGAGTGACTGTAAAACACAGCTTAAGGTGTTATGGCCCAAGATGCCCCATTTGTACTATGGATGGCTAGGAGTGCTAGAATGAACTAAGTTTCTCAGGATGAAAAACATCCTTAGGGATGACAAACCAGGAATTTTGCCTGCATACCAGCACTTAGATAAAATTCATCGTAAAGGCATGAATCACCACGGACGTGGAAATATACACAGTAAGGAAAAATTACACAGAAATCCACTTCTCTGGTCAACCCAGGCTCTTCGACAGGATTAATAAATTGTGTATGCTGCCTTCTCTTCGTCCACCTGTTTATTCTGGCTTTTCAAAAGCCTTTGGTAATACTTCTCAGCAGAAGTTTTAAGATACACGCAGCATATATGCACATACTTCTGAGGCACTGTGTGTCTCAGGGCAATAAAGTAGGGGCACTTCTCTGACAAGAAAAAGATGAATCTTATTTAATGTAGCTTGGAGGTAAAATGCCAAGCTGAAGGGGATACACTTCAGATTTCAGAAGTGAATAAAAAGGAATAATGAGCTTCACAGAATTAAAAAATTTAAGGTAAAAAAAAAATCTAAGGTAAGGTCATATTTTCCAATGTCCCTATTTTTCAGATGAGGAATGCCAAGCATTTATCTCAAGCAAAACTGAAAATTAGAATCCTGGCCTCCCAAATTCTGTGAATGCCTAGGAGTGCTCGAGTCCTTCGTTGTTCAGCTAGTCCTCTCAGAGAAATGGGGGCCCCAGAAGTCTATCCCCCATGGAAACAGATCAGGACTGTGCAGCAGGCCCTCTCTCATTTCTCTAGGCCCCTTATCCACCAACCACCACACACACATATATAGGGTGGCTCCCCTAAGATTGGACGAACAGCAAACATTATCTTATCAGCTGCCTGGAAAATAACTGTTGGTTTGATCTGCTGATTTGGAAGCCAGCCCTGCTGAGCTCAAGAGTTTGCTATTAGGCAGACTAGAGTTAATTCACTTGGGGTCTGTTTCCTCACAGCCCTGGACACCAGGCTCAGTGCTTTACCTTCGCTGTTGAAGAGTCCCATGCACAAAGCTTTAGGATTTGCTGAGGGATGAGTCACCTGTGCCCTTCAGTTAGGGTTTGTGGGGGGATTACTGCTCTCCTGTTGGAGTTCAGATTAACAAATGCCTTGGTTCTGTTTAAAAAGTGATCCCCCCCCCCTGAAAAATCAAAGCGAGAGTCTAGTCCTTTAGTTCCTTGAGGATATCTTCAAACTGCTGCGTGTCTACGTGTGTTTACTTCTGCCATCCAGAACAAATCCCTTGAGCCTAGACAGACTGAGTGATACCCGCTTGGCTCAGGATCCACGTTTCAAACCCATAGGGGAAAGGCTGTGGAAGTGCTGGTGCGCGTGGAAGTTTCCTCGCAGCTCCCGGCCTCCCCTCTGGGATCACTGTAAAGGGCGCATACTCTTCTTTCCACCAATTTCTAACAAGCTCATTAGTGAGGGATTGCCTGAGAGTGGAACAGTTAGTTTGTATTTTCGGATCTGAATGCACAGAACCTTCTGCCAGACTCCGGGAGACAGACCGTGTAAACCCGACCGTGATTAAACACAGAGCCGCCGATACTCCGTCCTTCCCAGCCTGCTGCTTCCCGTCCCCAAGCTGAAATCATCCTGCGGTTGGGCACGGGGCTGGGCGCGCGGCGGGACCCCTGCCCTGGCCTGGAGGCCGCACGCGCACATGCCCTCCTTCCCAGCACACGCGGCCTGCTGCAGGGGGGCCTCTCTCACCGAATTTCCTCAGTGGGATGCACGGACTTTCTGGAAAGCATGCTTTTTAATGTAATGGGAAAAGCAAAACAGTAGGAGTAGTCACTCTAAGGAAACCCAGGGAAATGAGCGAAGAGGAACACGGGAGAGAAAGAGCAGGCGAGAGTGTAACAGGGGAAGGGGAGCGCGAGGGCAGCACACTCCTGTTGCCTGGAACAGCCTTTGCCAAGCCCGTGTGCCGGACGGGAGCCGGCCTTCCAAACCCGCAGGGGCGCACCAGAGCGGCGGGGGCGCAGCACGCGCAGCGAGGGCCCCGCCGTCTCCCCGCGCGCTTACCTGCGATCCCTTGCAGCAACCCGCAGACGTTGAAAAGGCTTTTCTTCATGATGCTCTGCACACACATGGTGAAGACGGACACCAAGGCCACGGTGCAGAGGATGAAGATGCCCACGGCGAGGAAGATCGCGGTGGCCTGCCAGAAGCCGCTGGCAATCTCGCCGAAGTTCTCGGCGTAGGGCCCGCACAGCGTCTCCCGCGGCACGTGCTGCACGCCGGGGTTGCGGATGCAGCGGGCGTAGATGCCCAAGGTCGGGTGGTAGGGCTCCGACGAGCCTCCGCTCCGGTCGTCGGGCTCGGCGCCGCGGCGACCCTTGGCTGTGCCGATGAGCCAGTCGGCGCTCATGAAGGCAATGAGCTCTGCAAACGCCACCACAATACTCAGGAGGGTCCAGAGCATCGAGCGACAGGTGACAATAACATGACACATATTGATGTTCCAGGCGGAGAAGTCAGGAGTCCACGGGGTGAGGAAGAACAGCCAGCGGGTGGGGAGGGAGGCTCAGGCGGCCTCCGGAAGCAGTCGCTGCTCCGGGCGCTCGCTCCCACAGCCTGGGGCTCCCTCTGGCCGGCGTCTGGCAGCGCGGCGCCGGGCCGTCATGCTGCCATGTCCGAGCTCGCAGCGCGGCCTCACCTACGGGAGGGAAGGCAGGAGGGCGGTGAGCGGCGGCCAGGCTCCGCCCCGCGGCGCCGGCGCCCGCGAGCGCGCGGCCCCCGAAGCCAAGTGTGCGGGCGCCGCGGGGCTGCTCCCCGCGCTCCCCAGCCCTCCCCGCTCGGCGCCCGCCCGCCGGAGCCCCGCCGGAGCAGATCCCGGGCCCGGCCGGCGCGCGCCGTCACCGGGCTTCTTTGTTCCCATTCTCGGCGAGCTCTCGCGCCCTGGGTGCGGCGGTTCCCTTTTCTCCGGGCCGGCGGGGGCCGACCCTTCGGCACAGGAGCTCCCGCCAGAGCCGCGGCACTCTCGGGATGGGGCTCCTGCTCCACCATCTCTTACCAGACAAGGTCAACGGCACGGAGAGCCAGATAGATCTCCGTAGGACCTGCAGGCAAGGAACGCTGCCGACGGCCTGGCCGTGCTTTTATAAAGCTCACAGGGACTCTCTGCCTGCTGTCTTGGTACGAGATGAGGTGAGTTTTGAAAAACTCGCACCAAAAGCTTTTGCTTAGAGACAGGGCAGCAACACCCACTTTTACTGCCTGGGAATCAAATTAGTGGCAGAGACCGGAGAGTGAGGGTTTGCTTCGTAGGTAAGTGAGAATTTATAGAAGGAAACAACACTATGAAAAATAACAACACACTGCTCCCCAAACTTATTTTTATTCATTTCTCACAGGGTGATTTCTGGACAAAAAACTACACTAATTAAAACTCAAAGAAGAAAAAATCAGAAAGCCTTGAAGAGTCATGACGTACTCGGGGAAATCCCTCAAAACAGAGGCATTAATGACCACTGGCTAACTGTCATTACCACTGAGGAGACTTGTTGCCAGAAACTTGCCGAGGAAGAATGCATTCCTTGAACTGTCCCAATTCAGCGACCATGTGCCTCTGCCTGAGCTTCCGCTCACCCCAGGTCTGCAACTCAACATGCCCATTGTTTCTGGTCGCACAAGGGCTCATTCTCTTCCCAGGGACAAATGGCTTCATTACCAGAGGGCTTTGCTCTAACGGCTCAAACCTCCTTGAGAGGGGCCTGAACCCTGAGACAGGGGTACCGTGCTCCTCGGCCGCCCCATTTGCTGCCCCTTCTCCAAGGTCAGGAAGAATCACACAGTTCACATCTGACATCTGGGCACAAGGCTGTGTTGTGAATGATTAGACATTATTAAACTGAGGTCATGTCAACCTCACGAGAACCAGAAAGAGCCCCAGTGTGGTGGGGCACGGAGTTAGTGACGAGGAAGGGCAGTGGGGAAATAAGGAAGCCCAGAGTCAAGGCGTCCACACCACACTAGTAGACATGCTAGTGAGAGATTGCTATTTATCTCCTATAACACGGCACATTTACAAATCCTCCTATCATTCTAGTTACACAAGATGCTCTTTTGGGAAATTACCTAACACAGTAGTAAGGACGTAGGCCCTTCGTAATTGTCAGTGTGCGTGTGCGTGTGCGTGTGTTTGCTGAGTGCGGCTCCGCTGAGCACGTGAAGGGAGAAGCGGGTTCCACTCGAGGAGTTCTGGAGTCTGTCAAATTGCCTTTGGACAATTTTCAAGATGAATATAAAACTTGTGTGTGTCTGTGCTCCTACAGAGCCTCGGGGCTCTGCTACAACCTCTCCGCTGACCTGGATCTTCATGACCGTGTCGCGTGTCCACTGTCCTGGGCAGCAAGCTCGGCTCAGAGTCAGGCCTGCAGTCAGGTCGCCACTTACGAAGAGAAAGGGTGTGAAACTTCAGGGGAACGGAAGGTGGCACATTCAGGCTTAGCAAAACGGTCCGGGCCACATTTAGGGCAGGATTATTTAGGGAGCCGAGTGGTTAAGTTCACAAAATGCAGTTCTCTGTCTGTCCGTGCTAAAACAATCCCCCATCTACGGCACCAAATTCTCACATCCAGGCCGGCATGTCTGGAAGGAGGCTTTTATTCTCCTGTTTGGAAGAGGGAGCTAACATGCTTTGCTCTCTCCAGCCTAGTCTGCTAATAACTAAGTGGGATGGCCGTACCACACAAGGCTGACTGACCGGCTTTCCTGGGGATCCAAAAAAAGTCCTCAGATCGACAGGACAAGGGAAAATCTGGAAACGCATCAAGGGGCTTCACCAGGAGCCTGTGCTCTGTAGAGTGTCCCAGTTTGGCCACGTCCCATGTGCAAGGACAGACCCCTGCTGGCACAACATCCATATCAAAGGGGAAACAGATCCTCATGACAGATGTTGTGAACTGTGGGGATCCCAGCACAGAGCTCAACACGGCCTCCACGGACGTCCCCTGGACGCCCTGCTTCTCCACGACTCACTCAATAAGACCAGGCCCTCGCTGACCTTCCATGTGGGTGTCTTCTCTCCACAGGCCACTACGTACATTTCCACTCCAGCACAGCTGACTTCACTGTCATATCCCTGATGGCTGTGCCTCATCTGGACAGTCCTCTGACTTTCAGAAAATGCTGCTGTGATTCTCACAAAGGTCCGCAGAGTAAAGCCTCTTAGCGAGTAATAAACAACAACAACAACAACAACAAAAAGAGACTCCTACAGAAGCCTACAGTAGTGATCTGCAGTCATACTAGAGTGAGAATGCAGAGCAAGGGGAAAGTGACAAATGGCAGGTCTCCACAAAGCCCTCATATTTAAAACAAGGGTGAAAGTAGTAGGCTGAGCTCAACTGGGTCTGTCACTGCCGTCACAGGGTCACAGGGAGCAGGGAAGAAGGTGCAGGTGGAGCACAACTACCCGGGGCCCGGTGGCCGGGAGATGACCGTAACAGAGACTGAGGAGCAGAGGAGGTGAGAGGACTCAGGTGCGTCACAACTACCCCAAGTGTGCCCCCATTACGAGAGCAGCGAAGCCCGCGAATGAAGCCATGACGGAGTTTTGAAGAACACTAGCTTGCTTCTTCACTTCGGTTCTCTTTTTCTACTTTATTATGAAAACTGGCAAACACAGAAGTGGAAAAGAACAGACTATGGACATTCAGCTTCGACAGCGGTAGACAGCCTCATGCTAACACTCGTTTTTTTCTGAACCACGTGAAAACAAGTCACAGATGTCTTGACGTCTCAACCCTAAACACTGTAGCGTACACCTCCTAAAAATAAAGACATTTTCCTACGTAACCACAATAAAATTAACACCCCCCCAAAAAAACTGACAATACTTTCCTTCTATCCAAAGCCTGGTCCACACTCAAATTTCCCTATCCTGCCCCATTTTTTATAGTTGTTTCCTTAAAACCATGACTCAGTCAAGGCTCATGCACTTCATTTGGTTTTGTATCTTGTTTCTTTTAGTAAAAAACAATCCTTTCATCCCCTAACCCTGTTTGCATTTTTCCCTTGACACTGAGACTTTTTTTTGAAGATACCAGGCCAGTTGCCTTGTAGAATACCCAACAATCTTGATTTGTCCATTTCCTCATGATGTCACTTAAAGTGTCCTCTATTCCCTGCTTTATAGAAACGAGGTTAAATCTAAAGGCTAGTTCAGAATCAGCTTAAATATTTTTGGTGAGACTCCTTTGCAGGTAACACTGTTTATTCCTACTACATCACATTTGGGAGGAATAATACTGAGTACACAGAATCAGAATAATTTTATACATATATAGACATACATGATTATGTATATGTGTACATGTATAAATATATCTGTATATATTTACACATATATATGGGGGGGAGAGACAGAAAGACAAGACAGACAACATGCCCGGGGTCCTCTGTGGCCCTGAAGAATCAGAATTTTGGTGAGGGAGATGCAGAAGGCTGGCTGGGCAGGGCTCCGTATGTTTGGAAGAGCTCTTTGGCTGAGTGTTGACAGCACTGTTGAGAAGCCCTGTCCTAAGAGATGCCACCCTGGAAGCTTAAAAAGTCCTTTACCAAAGGGATTTTACTTCTAAGAAATGGTTGCTGTATTTCTTTGAAATGGAATCACACTTTATATATGACGTAGGAAAGCAGGGAAAGCTCTGCAGGCTTGGGGAGTAAGATACAACCTTCAAGAGAGGCAGCCCTTTCCAGGAGGACTGACTTGAACCAACAGAGCCCGGGCTGTAGTGATGAGGAAAGCTCTTGCGTGACGAGCAGGAGGGGCCATCCTGCCGCTAACTTCAGAGCCGCCCGTCTCAGAAAGGACAGCCCTGGGCTCCTGCCGCCTCCCTGTGACCCTGCCCTCGGCCGGCCAGCCTGCCCTCAGCCAGGCTGCGGGCGGCATCAGGTGCCAACACCACGCTGGGCAAAGGGCACTACACTGTGCGAGCTGGCATGGCAGCGTTTTAAGAGCTCTGTAAACAGACTCGGGAGCAAATCTCAGCTCTGCCGCTGCACAGCTGTGTGTCCTTGGGCAAGCTATTCACACTGCACCCCGGCCCGCCTCAGTCTCCTCCTCTGCCAAAAAAGGGTAGCAACATCTTCATCCCGAGGCTGCCGGGAGGAATGAAGGAGACAGCATACGAGGAATGATCAGCAGAGCTTCCTGGTCACTGTGCTCAACATACCTGAGCTATTATCAATCATTATCAGAGGATTAAATAATTTAATGCATTAATTAATGATTATCATTTTAATCATGGGATCATATGACTAAATAATAAATTTACTATAGTGACCCATGTGACTCGAAGGACCAATACACTTCCAAGCAGATTGCATTTTGCTCCCACGTCACTGGTGGTTTGTTTGGCAGTATGGTCTCCATCCCAGTGTCTTCTGGAAGGATAAGAGGATAAGGTGAGGGGGGTGGGAGGATGGGTTAGCCTGGTCGTGGGTATTGAGGAGGGCACATTCTGCATGGAGCACTGGGTGTTATGCACAAACAATGAATCATGGAACACTTCATCTAAAACTAATGATGTAATGTATGGGGATTAACATAAGAATTAAAAAAAAAAAAAAAGAGGATAAGGTGAGTAGAATTTAGGTGTTTTTACCTTCCAAGAGTTGGAAAGACCCTCCAGAAGGCTGCTTCTTGAAGTG